GTACGAGAGAGAGAGAGAGAGAGGTTGCGCGACGTCGCCGGTGAAAAATTCTCTCGAGGAATTCCCGGCACACATTTTTCGCGAACGTTGCAAACGAAATGTTGTTTACGCGAGACGAACGTTACTCAAAACCACGGGCCATATGCACCGTCATAAAATCGAGAGCGACACGATCATCATCATCAGCCTCCTCCTCCTCCTCTTCCTCCTCCTCTTACTTACTCTTCTTCTTTCTCCTCCTCATTGACGATATACACGGTTATCCCTTTCGGTAACGAACGAGGCACCTCGATTATTTTTGCAACGAGTCCGAGAAGCAGCCGCGGCGCGATATCTTTTCGCGGTAGGAACACGTTTTACGACTGCGTCTCGTGGGCCGTTCGAGACGCAGTTTTGCACCGGCGATACGCTTCGCGTACGTATAAATAGCGCTGAATCGAGCGATTTTCTCATGAAAAGAAAACTTGCGCGGTTAACGATTAAAAAATAGACTCTTTCCCGAAGCTTCTCCCGAGGAGTGACCGAGCGGAGAGATGCTGAGAGATTTCGCTATGTGCACGGGGGCAAAACAATTCCGTTAATGTAACCGAATCTTTCTTTGTCTGGGATGAGCCGGACGGAAAATTCGATTGTAGGAACAGAAAGATTCCCGCGTACACGGAGAAAAATTCCTTTGTATTTAATACACGTGTTTGTCTGACTCGGGTTTGTCTAATATAAACAAAATAATTTAATATCATTTTGCTTGAATGAAAATGTTTCATTAAAGTAAATTATGTTGTTTGATAGAAAAAAAACAATATTACTTAGAGAAAATAATATTTCGTTTTCGGTAAAAAAAGTTTATTTCGTTATATATTAAATATTATTCCACCAGAACAAAAAATATGTTCTTTGATATTTTTCTAACGTAATATTACTTCTTACAATATAATTTATTGTTTCTGACCAACCATTCTAGTGTTGGAATGAAAATACAAAAAAATATGTTGTTTGACGTAAAAATATTTATTATTTGAGAAATCAAACAATCTTGTTGAATCAAACATTCACATTAGGAGGTTTCTACTAAGTCAATTGTTCTCAGTTACCCCAATTGAATTCTAAAGCAGCCGAATGTTTAGACAAATTTCAGACGAAGTTCAGACGTTTTTAGTAGCAGAGACATTATTTCTCGTCACCGAATTTTCCTCTGGTCCTTATTCAGGTGCGCAAACTGAGGCTCTTTTCCGTGTGAGGATAATCTTACGACGCGAGTTTTTAATGACGCACGAGCAGACTGATGCATATTGCAACTTAAACGTTGATAAATTGGAGACGTGGACGCGCCTATAAATGTATTTATCCTTGTATAAAAAGGCGAACGAGAAGATCGATATCAAGCGACGGAGGCCTCATCGTGCGCGCGTCACATGACTCGCGTAATCGGTCATCGGCATTCGATATATCTGCATCAGCGATCAGCGCTCCTCGTCGTGAAATTATTTCTGCGGCCGGCCTCGCAGTTTGGTCGCGTAATCTCACGGCTTTGCAAGGAGAAATGCGACTTTCGCGAGCAGCCTTTAAAATTTATCCAGACAAACTTGCATTATCGTATTATGGCATATGCAGGAAATCGACCAGTTGATCCGTGCAAAGAAAAAGGATGTCTTCTATATCAGATATTATAATTGGTCAATTTCCTCCTGCATTATGAGACTGTGCAAGTTCGTCTGGATAGATATTTACTGCCGTGCAGAAGAAACAACTCTGTCGATGCAACTAAATTTTCCGTTACTTGAGAGCCAGACAAAAAGTTGATTGCAGGAATAGAAAGATTCCTGTGGGAGGTTTCTACTCAGATAATTACTCTCTATTACCTCCACCGAGTTTGAATGCAGTTGAAATGCTCAAATCAATGTTTTTGGACGCGACAACAGATACATCACTTCTCGTCATTGAGTTCTAGTCTGGCTTCCGTTCACTGAAAAGTGAGTTTGGCTGGACCTGTCTGACAATGAATAGCTAAACGTGTTTTGGTTGAAGGAAACAAAATTTCTGGCTACAAGAATCAAATTTGATTCATGAGAATTAAAAAATTTGTTTCCTTCAACCAAAACGCGTGTGGTTGTCGAGTAGATCCAATTAAACGCATTTTCACCATATACAAACTGAGATTTCTTTTCTCCGTATATCGATCTCCTCTATTCGTTTCTCAAAATACACGTACACAGAGAAAAAGAGTTCTTTGGATTTAGTATACGTGTTTGGTCGACTTGGGTTTGTATAATATAAACAATGTAATTTAATATCGAATATCATTTTGTTTGAATAAAAATGTTGTGTCACTAGAATAAATCGTGTAGTTTGATAGAAAACAAAATAATATTATTTAGAGGAAATAATATTTCGTTAAAAAAAAATAGTCTACTTCATCGTATATTGAATATTGCTCAACTGAAACAAAGAGGTTCTTTAATATTTTTCTAACATAGTGTTACTTCTTTCAACTAGTTCATTACCTGTGACAACCATTGTAATGTTGGGATGAAGATACAAAAGAAATATGTCATTTGACATAAAGATACTTATTGTTTGAGAAACAATAACTAAACAATCCTGTCTGTTGAATCAACCGCTCAAACATTCGTTTGTTTGCTCCATTCCAAAAGACAAATTTTTGTATCAACTAAAGAAATTCTATTAAATCCGAAGAAACGTTTTCCTACGAGTTTACGCGTATGTGACACTCGGTCATTCCGAATATTCCGACTATTCCGTTATCAGAAAAATGGTCTGTGTCATTATAACGTCCAGATAATAATGCAGAAATGCAACATAGCACGAGTCGACAGCCGATTATTTTTGGAGCGAGAACACATCAACGAGACGGTATCCCTCGAGCGAGCCATTTCGGCAGGTAACTGCAGCCATCAACGTGACTATCACGCTCCGCGGTTCCCACGTCCGTTAACCGCGCGACCGAAATAATCCCTATCGTAAGACCGATGACTAGCAATTTTATCTACATCGCGAGATTCCCGACTGCGAGATGCATAGCACATCGCGGAACAATAAATAAGTCTGCATCGCGCGATTCTCGCTCTCCGTGACGGCCCGATGCGCGAATATCGTCGTCAAAATTAAATAATTTAATTTTATCGCACGGAAAAAGTTTGATCGAATTTACCAGACAGTGAAGCGACAAACACATTTTTGGTTGAAGTAAACAGAATTTCTAGTTCTTATGATCCAAATTCGATTCTTGTAACTAAAAATTCCGAACTTTTTTATCCGTGCGGGAGAATTCTTTCTTCTCTGGGCGTTTCGTCGTCACGAAGGGACTGTAGCCGTGAATCGGCTACTCTGACTTCCTCGAGGGAACACGCAGTGGCGACGACGAAGCTGCCGAATCCCTTGTGGGGTCTCGACCGAGAACGAAATAAGAGCCAGGCCACCTTCGAGGGCGTAGAGGAGTAGAGGCGGAATCGTCGAATGGGAAATCACCGGGTATAAATAGAGGATGACTCGCGAGTCTGAACTCGTCCGCGTGGACATCGCTAGTCGATGATCGCACTTCTTCGAGCGGGGCATCGATAAGCGACGCGACGAGACGCGGCGTTCCCGCGAGGAGAGGTGTTAACTCGACGGATTAACGGCAAACACACGCCCGGTACGCTCGTTCTCACGCCTCGCGAATAGGCCGAGGACTTAGCATTGTCGGCGAAAAAAGGCGACGAGTCCATCAGTCTATAAGCTTCACTCTACAACTCGCCGATAAAAACAGCGATCTCCGCAGATCTCGCGCGAGAATCGCGAAACTTATCTCTAATGACTGCCGTTCTGAGTAAGGATTACTTCCTGGGAGAAATGACCGAGGCTACGCGGGTAGTCTTATCTAAATTAACGTCTCACGACCGCTTGGAAACAGCTTCTCTCTCTTCGATCGATCGCTCGGCCGGTCGTCTAGAGCAACTTGCTCCCGTAGAAAATAACGTTTGCGACACATTCAAACCCGATACTGATAGTACTATATGATTCGAGCCCCGCGATGTTTTTTTTTCAGCCGATTTTACTAACGTTCTAGCAAAGGAAAGATCCGAAACACGGTGTGTGATACATCGTTACTCAATGAGTATCGGCTAGTGCCAAAATTTTAGCTGCTTTGGACTATAAATAAAAAAGTTATATGCCAAAATACGCTTAATGGGGAAATGTATGGGAATCATGCCAGTCTGTTACTTATGGATGAACATTATAAAAATGTTTTTCGAGACAGGAACATAAAGATTTTTAATTATTGAATGATTCAAACAAAAGTAGCCCTCACAGTGAGCACATTTGATGAATGTTGTTTCATCGCAATCTTCCTCAATTAGACCCGATTTAGAACAATACTCCAATTTTGGATGTCTAGGATTTTGGAACTCCAGGATGAATATTGATATAACCATATTTAAAGAGTGCAAAGCAAGGTTAAACAATGGTAAGAATTAAAAACTAACAATTAACAATTTGAAATTAACCATTGCTAATGCGTACGCACAAGTCTTTAATGGCTCCTTCTGTTGTCTATAGCAGCTAAAATTTTGAATGTAAACATATCTTATGAACTTCCACCTAAAGAACGTACTTTGGTTCTGCAACCGTATGAATCTTTTCTTGTATTAGCTCGATTCTCATTAGCGTTATAATGTAATGTAGAAGTCGTTGGAGCCCGGGAAAAGAATTTGTATTTGTTACGATATAAACATAAGAACGTAACATAAACAAAAAATAAATGATAATAGAAAATAACAAAATAAGGTACTCGCGCAACTCTGGCAGTCTGGTCGGAATATGAAAATTCGAATGATCAATTTATATTCTTATAACTTAACGATATACTAAATAATTACTCAAACAATAATTATAAATCTCGAAAGGGACTTCAAAGAGGAGATTTAGAGTACATCCTTCTTCCCGAGCTCCAACGCAAACGGGAGTGTGATTAATTCTACGAATTTAAAGCGAAGAGCTACCTTAAGGGCGTACTTCTGTCTCTTTTGTTTGTCGTAGCACTGCACGACCTTGCCGTTGATACCGAGGCCCAGCACATGACTGCTGATTTCATAATCCTCGATGATCTGCGTGACCTTCGGTAGGCGGCTCTCAACGCCCTTGTTGCTCAATGGATGCTCCATCGTCTTTCGCCTCGGTTCCTGCTCCGTGACTCGGTCGTCCTGCACGATGAACTGTGTCACCACCACTGGTTCCGAGCGCTTACGTTTGCTCTCCTTCTGCTCGTTCTCCTCGAGAACGGCCCTCTTCGACTTCCTGGAAAGCCGGGGGTATTCGACATTTTAAATTCAAGACGTGCGCGCGTGAGACAGAGAGAGAGAGAGAGAGAGAAAGAGGGACTCGGAGGACGTCGTCTGCGGCGATACGCGTACGCGATGCGTAAAACGGCACGAAGAAATACGATGTTCCAGATTACACAGCGATAACGAAGACCTAAGACCGATAACGCGCCGTGGAATATCGTATCGCGGCACATACATACACGTCGATTCGCTCGATTCGTGCTCCACTTTGGACGATCTGTAATTCACGACGGGACCTTATTCGCATAAATTTACCACGGTGCAAAATTCACGATGAAGGAAACACTCCGGATGCTTACAGATGCGCGCGAATTATGCGTTCGAAAGAAAAATCGCTCCAGGATGTCTACTCGAAAAAACATTCCCTGAGAATTTCCTGAGAATTCCCTGAGAATTCCCTGATTTTTCCAGGCATGGACAAATGCTCTAAAGTATCCCAGGTTTTGCAGGCTTTTTCAGATAGTAGACACTCTGCATTCGTATCGAGATTTAAAAATTACTGAACGACGATAAAAGTGAAGTGAAGTGGACGACGTCAACGAAGACGACTTGAAACGAAAAAGATTTCGGAGTAACGGGATCGTAAACTCGGGCGAGCCGTGGAAGCTAACGCTAAATATCCGCGCGATTCGCTAGCTGTGTCGCGGCGAGTCTCACCGTCGTTTCAATGAAATCGTTTGCATAACCTTCCTCGAGGAATGTGCAGGATTCATGTTATTTCGCGCACGCACGCACACACATACAAACACACGCACGCGCACGATCCGCGCTACCCACACAGTTTACGGACAGCTTTATACGGCGCGTCGCTCGTCACCGGCGGGGCGGTGCGGCGAGAAACGCACGAATTCGCTAATTGTCGATCGAGATCGGCCGGTCGTATGTACAAGACGTACGATACTCGTGCCGCTGCTCGTGACGCAGGGATTGAGCGAACGTGTGACACCTACAGGTGTCACGAAGCTATCCCCGTTTCATTCATATGTAGGGTAGCGGAAATGCTAAGACGTGACACGTTGGCTTAGTGACGAGCATTAACACGTTGATTGCCGCGTTCATTTCCGTTGATAGTACAGGGGCTTAACTGAATTGCCAAAAATGCGCTGGATAAACGCAACTCTTATCTTTCGTCTCGTTTCATTACACAGCAAAAATATTTTGTATAAATAACGGTCCATTGAAATTTGTGTGTTACCTTAACGTGGAAATATATTGAAAAGTACACAAATATATGTTAAATTAACATATTACTATTCAGCATATTCACTTTGTTAAAGTAACGTAAAAATCTCAGTGAACCGTTTGCTTGCGCATTTTTTTATTGCGTAGCTCTCTACCCGCCATATAGTTGATTTTTCATAATTTTTTTTTTATGTTATGAATTATATTTACACATAATGTAAGAGATAAATGTAATTCGTACGTTTTACCTCGTTTCATTGGTTCTCTATTAGGGACACAACTGATTTTCCAAATTTGTCCAATGTAATTAATTACATTTAAAAAAATGTAATTAATTATACTTTATACGTAGCGATGATGAGACACGATGATGTCACACTGTCCGTCACCGGTGACCGTCACGACATTCAACGTGTTAAAGAAATAATTCGGTGAAAGCTCGAAATTGTTAGTGAAACCATCTAAATACAGTCTAACCATCAACGTCACAAATCTAACTACCAACGTGTACTGCAAATCCAAGTGTGTTATTTTAGCCAAGGCTTTTCTTACACACTTCTTGCCGTCTTAAATCACGTTTTTAATTTAACACGACTGGTCATGTTAACTTATAATTTAACATTTGTTAATTAATCGTTTTAAATAACGTAATCTAAAACGGCAAGAAACATACAAAAAGAGCATCAAACGTATCATATTTAGACGTTCATGCGTGTAAAAATAACACTTGAATTTGCAGTGTCATCAGTGGATGACCGGTTATCAGTAGATACAAAGATAATTATAAAGAGGAAAGAAACGACCGAGTCAGAGGAGTTACAAAGCGACCGTTTCGCGAGATGCCCGCTGAAATAGCTCGCACAAGGCATTCAAATCGTGTGAAACGAGTGCGTCAGAGATTTGCTATCGATTGACGCAAACGGCCGATATAAAATATTCTGTGTTGTTACGGGCCCCTATTCTCGAAAAGGTTGCGTATACGTGTCATTGCGCAGGTATAATCTTATCATTAAATAGCTGCGCAATGACACGTGTGCACAATCACTTCAAGAATAGGAGCCTTGGTTCGTTTACGAGCGAGAAGCCCGCACTTCGCCGATTGCGAAACCGCGAATTGTGCAGTGAGAAAAAAAAATGAATATATATATATATATATAAACGGCTAACAGAGCAACGAGGCGCCGCGAACTCGTAACTGCGGCGATCGATGCAGCTCTGGACGCTCAAGGATAACGTATGCAGCGCATGCAGAAATATTCGTCAAAGATAAACAACGCGACTCGCGAGTAGCCTTCGGTGGAAAAATGACAACGGGCGCGCCACGGATTTAGATCACGCGATTGTGAGACGGCGGTGAGGAGATCTCGATGCCGTCAAATTGCAAACTTAACGAATTGACGATTCGCAAACATTCCCGCTCTTTACAATGAGAAAAAGAAATTGGAATTTTGCGAAGTAAATGCCTCTTGTGACATTTTTTTCTTCGATACTTATTGATTAGAAAAAAATTTTGACTGCGATAACGGAATAAATTATATAATAATATTTTTGTGAAATATATCTAAATTTTCTTATTAATCGGTTTACTTGCTAGAAAGAAAATTTTTTTCGCCATATTTAAATAAACATTTATTTCTGTGAAATAAACCTTATATTTTATAAATTCTTAAATCCTTCTTTCTCAGTGTACGTGTGCCTCGTATTCGTAACGACGCGATATTCGCATTCTGCATATGGGAAAAATAATTCCGTTAGTATAACAGAATTTTCCATTGTTTGGGAACCAGACGGAAAATTCAGCTTAGAAACAGAAAAACTCTTGTAGACGGTTTCTAATCAGTCTAGTCACCAAAGATGTAGATCCTTTTGGCTGAACTAGTTGGCAGAAAAAGAGGAGAAAAGAACTAATACAAGCTAGTATAGCAGCTTTTTTTCTACCAAGTCTTAATGAAACATGAAACATATCTTGAATGTTCAGACGAAAGTTTTCAATCACGGCAACAGAGATATCGTACCTTGTCAACGAATTTCCATCTGGTTCTTGGTTAAAACAGAGATCTTTTTTCCGCGCGATTATTATATCTCTTATTATTATCGCGGGGGTGTTAGTGGAGCTAGTAATTTCGACGATAGCGCGATTAGCAGTGTTAGGCCAGCGCCCTTATCGCTCGTAATCGGGAAAAGAAGCGCACGGTTATCGCGAGAGACGCACGAGTCGACACGGTCGATACGTCGTTGGCTCGTCAAGCTGATCAGGGAACGGAGTTGCATCGACGGTCTCTCGATTAACGAAGTATCGATTTCTTGGCTTTCGTCGGATTGCATTCAGCTTCGAATTTATTATTGATAAGACAGGTGTGTATCAGTTAATCATTACCGTAGAAACGATATAAATAGAAGAGGTATTTAAATCAACATCGGCCGGTTCTGAACATATTATTATGCCAAGGCAAAAGGCGTGTCTTGACGTTTGATTATATCACGATGTCGAAGATGTCTTTAAAAATTGCTCGGATCTTTCCGTCTCGGGATGTGATTTAATTCACTAGCGTTTGGAGAAGATTCTTCATTGAGACGCATTCTTTTCATTTAGAAAAGAAAATTAATGCATTATATTCGAAGTCTTCTCTCATGTAAAATTGACTCATGTTGAGATACATCTTTCCGACTTAAAGAGGCACGAATAAAAACGAAAGAGTTAATTGTGATCAGGATTAATCATCGTTGACGCAACTCCAACCCTCATGTACGATCCTCGCGATACGGGAGGACGTGTTCGGCGATCATTTTCTCTTTTCGTTTCTTTTCTCTCTGCTACATAGGAATAAAGATGTTGAAAAATAGAGACCTCCAGAATCTCCACTTAGTTGTCGATTTCGGCATCGATGCAGCTCTCGACTTTCGCACGGCTAAGTCCCGATTCGTCGGGGCCGACTATGCATCAGACCCCTTGCGTGCCGTAAAAGTCGAAGGCTCCTTCGGGGACGACCTCCCGCAGATGTAAGTGCGACGGTAACAGCGGCACGCACGCACACGGCGAGTGGCACGTGTGTGTGAGTGCGTTACAGAAAGAAGAAACCACCCAGAGCGAAAGATAGGAGAGGAGTTTTAGTCCGCCCACGGCACCCGGTCTTTCGCTTTTTTTCTCTTTTTTTTTTTGCGAATCTTTCGGAAGACTTTTTAAGTCAAGCCGAGAGAGTTAATCGGGTCGGCCGGCGCTGAAAACTGAAGATAAAGATACCAATGGTAATTAATGGTACGTGCGAGCGGGTTGATGTGTCGGCTGATGTTCGACGGAAAAGAAGCGTCGTGGATCGGGCTCGATGAAAAAGCAACGTTTCCCGGAAGCTAACGAATATAATAAATGCTCCACACCAATGCCCTCCCGACTGACGAAAGCCGGATGGCGACGACGGTATTTCCGGTGTTCCGTTGAGCCTTCGGAAAGCACGAGTTTTAACGTCCTTCGGCGCTGGGCTCGGCAAATTTCCATAATTTCTCGTTACTTAAGTGACGAAACGTTCTCGGTTAACACAGCCGTTGTCCAATCGAAGAAATGTTCTCCCATTTCTTAGACATAGTAATGTCGGAAAGAGTGCGGCCAAACATCCATAGGCAACGTTCCCCATTTTCTTCCTACTCGATTTTGTAACCAATTTGGATATCAGATTAAAATAATCACCAAACTGGTTACAAATATATATGTCTTAAGATAGATAGTGTAGTGATTTGCCACTCCAGAAAAAAGATTTCAATCCTGACAGATGGGGATTATTTCACCTGTCGGAATTAGAACTTTTGGAACCCATTTTCTCTGGAACGGTAAATAGTTACATTTTAAGTCTAAATATTTGTAATCAGGTTGGCGAGTACTTTAATCTGATACTAAAATTGAGTACAAAACCGAGTTAGGAGAAAATGGGAAACATTTAAGCAAAACTCTTTCAAGTTAGGTGCATCATTTTTCAATCATGATTGCTGTTTTGGAGCAACCTTGTTGGTTGGTTGTCCCGGAATAATCAGCAGTCATAATGTACGAATATTCCGAAATGATACTCCAAATTCGAAATTTCTGATATCACTATGTCTAGAAAATGGGACAATCTTTTTATCTCCGATTGACCTGTTTCATTTCAGTGAGAAGTGAATTCGCACGAGAAGCAACACTGAATATTGTTCACGAATTTTCACCCGTTTGAATAAAAACGAATACACATTTGTCGCAACGTCTACTTGAAATTTATCCCACATGACAGGAGATAAGAGTTCTTCAGTTGATTTACCTGGACTTTTCTAAATAGATTTGAATTTCATTATAAAGTCAGATCTCTCTCAGCGCCGATTTAGTTTCACGAAAAATACACAGGAAATCAAGTTATTTATTGAGCTTCGTCCTTGCCTGCGTTTATCTCGCACGAGTAGAAAAATCCGCGAATACGCTTGAATGCGCTCCGGAATACCCAGAGCCGAAGGTGATAACATCATCGCGCGCGTGTTTCTCCTTCGGAAGTTATCCTTTTTCCATTACGTTATATTGCTTACGCGCGAGTTATGTAATATGCGCCATTAAAGAGGAACGAGTGCATTGAAGTGCGGAGAAGCGGTCCGGATTGCATTCGCACATGATGACACGCACACAATAAACACCTACTCAATTAGCGAAGAATGATCGCTTGTCGTTAGGCGAAACAACGGGACAACAACGTCCGCCTACGGTTGGCCCGCGGATCGACGACTTCAATTCCGATCTCATTCGCCTTTGCGTCTTTTCCCGGTAAAAGTCGCAAGAAAAAGACACGATTCCGAGTAGTGGACACGGCAGTGATCGTATTAATAGCGACGATGAGATCAGCTCGTATTGGATCAGGCTTGGTTAAAAATGAGAGATTAGGCGATGTTGGAATTATCGACCGCAGGGTTACGACCAAACAGGTGGACATGCGTAATATGAATGACGACAGATCGAAAGAACCGTGTATGAACATTAAAAACACATAGCGTCAGTTTTACATTTTCTGGTTAACTTGTGACTTAAACTTAAACTGATGATAATACAAAAATTGTGTTTTTCTATTTATACTTAAACATTAAACTGATAGTTTTGTAGTGGTAATTTTTAGGCCCGCTTCCTTATTATCTGGTTAAACTGTGTTCAAGGCTTAACCCGGTGATAACGCAAACATTATGTTTTTTTATTTATGGTTAATCATGAAATTTTTCAACTTACCATTGCTAAACCAATTTAATGATTAACCATGACTAGAAAAACACAATTTTTGAATAATCATCAGTTTAAATCTAAACTGCAAATTAACTAGAAAATGAAAAATCGGGTTTTAAAGTTTAACCCTTTGCACTCGAGGGCTCCGGAGCGGAGCCATTTAAAATTTGTCTTCAAACTCGAGGGCTCCGCTATGAAGACAATGCATATAGCAAGAGCGGAATATCCTATACACAATAGTTTTTACGATTTGTCTTTGTCCTTATGTTATGAACTGAAAGTTATTTGCATTGTCTCCATAGCGGAGCCCTCGAGTTTGAAGACAAATTTTAAATGGCTCCGCTCCGGAGCCCTCGAGTGCAAAGGGTTAATAATTAATCGTTAACAGAAAAACGTAAATTTTACATCAGGTTAAGACTAAACCACAAGTTAATCAGAAAATGAAAAACTAGGCCTTACAGCGATTAGACTGGAGCGCGTGGAAAAATCTAAATAATAAGGAAATTGATCAATCACGGTCGAATTTTTCTAACGATTTAATAATCGACTGTAGTTGTTTAATTTCCTTACTGATTAAATCTAACTTACTGCTTAAATTTTTCTATCTATTCCCGGTCTTAGATATTTCGTACGCGCTTAACGCGAAAATCGCGTGTCATTAAAGAGATGTCACGTCTGCGATAACGAGCATGTTTATCGTTAAACGCACGATGGGAAAAGAAGGCCAACCGCATGCTACGTTGACGACATTGATAAGTGCACAACTTAATATAAAAGCTGATGTTAAAGCACAATTGTGATATAACTACGAAGTATACGGTCCACCTTGGACGATCTATAATTCGCGGCAGAATACAAGACGAAAATATGATCCGTTATATTTTGCGTTATACATATGTCACGCAGAATATTTAAAGTTTCGCACATACACGGGATGAGATAATAACTATTATCACTTTTGAACCATCTTTTATCACATCTTCGGAAAATAAAAATATTTTATTAACGATTAGATAAAGAATAGATGAGAAAAAACTTACATTTATAGAAGGTATTCGAAGTGCTGATTATTGGCATCTCGATGAATATTTTTTTTAAGTAAATTTTTCTCCCACTTTCTTATTCCGAAGATATTTAAAGTGGTAATAGCGATTGCCTCATCCTGCATACACCTTCGAATGCGATTCTACCTTTTCGAGCGTTTTCTTACGAACGGAATTCGGTCGCGAATAGGTCGTTCAAGGTGAGTACAAGGTACGTAGTAAGCAGTTTTTAATTTACTCACACTTACTCCGGTCTCTCCGTATATTTACAAACACTCAAACGCGTCTCGCCAAGAGTTCTCAGTTTTCTCAGACACACACCCGACGGTCGTAAGCGCATGGAAAATTCGTGCAACTATTTTTACAAGTGCGGACGCACACCAACGCGGAAGACGTGCGATCGATACGTGCGTGACTTCAAAAGTCACTCTGTATCTCGCGAAGACACAACGTATGTGCACGTTTTTTTTCTTTGTAACTTCAGATAACACAGACGTACACATTCCCGGGCCGAAATTCGGATTTACGCGGATAGTAAACAAGCTCGAAGGCGGGAAATGGCGTGGAAAGAAAAAAAATGTCTTCGCAACAACTTTTCTGTTATTTCGGTCGCGTTTTCCGAGGGAGAAGAGAGCGCGAGTGTCCTTCTCTTTCTTTTGAGAGATAGTAGGCGACAGAGATGACTCATGTGTACGTTAGTCTCTTCATTCATATACTTGAAATCATTCCTCCTCGCGCGTAACAGAGGTATATATAAACGATACACCCGAAAAAGTGACGTACACCGAGTTAAATCTCTCACCCACGGTAAATAAACATCCCAGATAGACATGTTTAGTATATTGTTTGCATCACAATTACACAGAAGAAATATTTTTAAATGATAAATATTCTTGTATGTAAGCAAGAATGTTATATTTTTAGAAGATTTTTAGTCTTGAATTGAGTGCAAATACATTACAAATATAAGTGTGTTATTTTTACACGTATAAATGTTTAAAAATGACTCGAGTTCTTTTTACACGTTTCTTGCCGTTTTAGGTTACGTCACTTAAAACGTTTAATCGTGTTGAATTATAAGTTAACACGTCCAACACGTCCAACCGTGTCAAGTGACGCGATTTAAAACAGCATGAAAAGAATAAAAGACGTCAGCTAAGAAACCACGCTTGGATTTGCAGTATAATACCCGTATCAATACAAATTCAATCAAATAGAGACTAAAAAGATTCTTCTAAGAAGATTATAATATTTTTGTTTATATACGAAAATATTGATTTATATAAGACTAATTGTTTCCATGTAGTATAAATACGTGAAGATGCAACAAGAATTTTCTCAGTATGTAAAGAAGTCGTCCGATGCCGTGGAAATTGCTGTTTATTTTGTGGTGATTGTGAAATTATGACGTAATAAATGAATACTTTAAACATGTGTGCTATTGCAATGGCATCACAAAGCATACATTAAATGTTTGCATACTATACTAAATGTTCAGCACATTTGTCTATCTGGGACAGAAGCAAGAGGAGGACGATCGTCTGAAGCTCGGAGTGCATTGAGAGCGCGAAGTCTCGCGCCAATTTAACAACCATGAAGATTAAATTCAAGCGCAAGATGTCCTCCCCTCCGCCCCCTCGGAAGATTCGCGAGAGCCATCGTTAAACCGATCGAGGGTCGACGGTGTAAAACAAAACTCATAGATTCAGAGAAGGATATCACCTACCTGGCGACCTGCGCCTCTTCACCTGCCACCACAGGATCACAACTCATAGGAATCACGAGCGAGCAGCTTTTGCCGGCATTATTCGCGCGCAGCGTCCCGCCGATCTAACGCTCGGAGCTTTAATCACACGAAATCAGGCGCAAGAGCACGGCGACGAGACGAAACGAAGGTTTCGCCAACGACGCTGGCCGACGGGATCGATGAGGAAATCACCCGAAACTCGCCGAAGAAAAGCGTTCCCGGAAGCTGCCGCACTGTGCGAGGTTCCCGACCCGGACAGCGTCTTCCCGAGGGTAGCCGGTGCGTTCGAGTTGCGCGACGTTGGGCAACGCGCGGTTCACTGGCCGAGTCCGCGACGTTTTCGCCGATCAGTGTCGTCAGGATGAAGCGGACCGTGATCACCGTTGAACGATGGTATCTTAATGATGACTCCGGGTACGCGCGCGACCACCACGACCCGCTGGACGCACGTTAAACCGACCGGAAAAACGGCCTGACGACTACTGACGCGACTATGGCGACGCAACGCGACGCGCCCGCCCCATCACGGCGATCTTCGACAGTGACTCACTTCATTGCGCAGGACCGAGGGTGGGAGTGTATCCGTATACGCGATGTATCGCGAAATACGGAACCCGCTTCTTCCGTACAGCCAACGTAGTAAGAACTGCAACGCTTTTTCGACGAGTCTCGCAATGCTTTCGGTATCCAATGGGAGAATTCGTTTTTTAGTAAATTAAATAATAGTAATAATAATAATTAAGGTCGCCCTGTTTTACCGCAAATTTGGTAGTGCTATATATTCGTTACCGGCTGCACAGAATTAAAAATCCTTTCGCAAAATGACAGTATACACGTTAATGTAGGCGAGGACGGTTGACTTTATTCGAAAGACTTTATTAGAAAAAGTTTCATAATTTGTTAACTATTTTTAGTTTTAGAATAAAGTCAACCATCCTTCCCTAGGTTAACGTACGTGTGTATTGTAATCGTGCAAAAGGATTTTTTATTCTGTGCAGCCAAGCAATAATAAGTATAACACTAACAAATTTGCGGTTAAACGGTACGACTTCAGAATCCCCTTAATAATAATTCTCAAGAAATATATTTTCCTATTGGATACGAAGTGCGTCACGAAATTCATTGAAAAAAAAGTATTGTAACTTTTATTATGCTGACTATACACTCGTGGGCAGGTGGGTTGTCACTCTTTTTTTTTAGTTATAATGCATCTCGTATCCAATAGGAAACTGTATTTTCTGATAAACTAAAAAAACAAATTTTCCCATCAGACACAGGATGTGTTTCAAAATTTATCAAAAAAAAAAAAAAAAAAGACAACTTTTTTTATTCACGACTGTATATATATTGCGCAATGCGAATTTTTTTTCTCTTTCCAGGTGTGAGATTTGATCGATTGTATACATCCGAAGGTTTTTTTCTATCTATTATTCAAGTTTTTCGAGAGCGATCTTGAGTCGATATTTTCTCAGCAAAAATCTAATCAAACACTACTTCTTGCTCAACGATTTCAGGGTTGTCACAGAAGATAAATTTTGAAATTCCCTGACTTCTCCATGTTTTCCAGACGACAGTGGAGAATTTTCCATGAGCAATATGCAATCTTAAACTTTAAAGTTAGAAGCAGGGCTTGCAGGAAAGGTAACTTATATTATTAGAAACAACACAAACTTAAAAGTCACAAATTCAGGTGAACAAAAAATAAATGGATATCGGAAAAAAGAATACAGTTGAGAGCATTTAAGGGAGTTGTGAATAAAGTTGAAAATTTCATGTTTTTTTATATCTTTCCTTGACTGCCAGGTTTTCACTAACATTTGAAATTTCTATGATTTTTTCAGGTCTGTGGCAATTTCACCGAATAATTCGCGCTAATCTTAGAATTAAAATTTTGTTAATATTGTTACGCCCGTGTCTTGATGTCAGAGCGCTAAAAGCGCGGGCATCAAGACACGGGCGTAACAATATAATCGGTCGGTTTGATGTTCGCTCGAATGAAAAAGATTTGTGCACGTTGCAGCTCAGGTCAATAATGAGTGCGCATCCGGCATTGACTGACTTCTCGCCGACAACACGCACGCGTCGTTTGATTACTCGCAGAAGCATGCTTTCTTTAGAAAGTTAACATTGCCAAGCGGTGGCTATCGCGAGGATATTGAACCTTCATGCTCAAGATCGGTGGTGGAAAATCAATTAAAATTCATATTTCTCTCTCAACGCTGAATAAGGTACAAGTAGAATGGCAATTAATGTGAACAGTAATTAACATTAATTTGTTGTTTCGGCAACAAGAAGGTATTATTTTCTACGGTGTAAAATAAAATATTACAGGTAATTCCAAGTGAAATTAGAGTAAAGGGAGAGACAGAAAAATAAAGAGAGAGAGAGAGAGAGAGAGAGAGAGAGAGAGAGAGAGAGAGAGAGAGAGAGAAGAAATCGCGTGTCTACGAGCTAGTAATATTTATTTTTTATCGTAAATATATGTTATTTCGCGATGAATTTAAATATGCGTGTTGTTTGTATACATACGTATGTACATATTATTCTCAGACTAATGAAATTGCGTCCAACGAATTTCCTCAGGTATCTCCGATATTTTATCTATATATCGTAACTTACATAACAATAATTACAAAACTGTTAACGTCCATATAAATATCTTTCTCTTATGTAGGCACGTTCTTAATTGTATGTACAGTTCTCTCCGTGATACGTCCGCGAAATATCATATTCCGATGTATTGTCCCGTTGAGAATATAGCCCGAAATTTAAAAAAATGTTACCGCGGCCATTATTTACCTTACATTCAATGATACGCAGGCATTCGAAACGCATAAAGCACCTAAATCTTAAAACGGCCTTAAGAATTCGATCAGATTGTTACACGTGCGAATATATTTAAAATTAAACTAATTAAGATCGAGTTCTCCGGAAGCGTCGGCTGCATTATCAATGAAACCATCGACCACTTCAGCAACAAATACATCTAAAGTTGTCGAACCGTACATCGACTATTAATAACTATTACTTTAATAATTACATTAATAATATACCATTATCAATATTGTGAAGTAGTACTTCAAAATACCTTTCAAAATATTTTAAACCTCTGATATAGTATTATATATCATTATTTAATATTGTTCTATCATATTACATTAGACTGCACCATTCGTATAAGGTGAATAATTTTTACTCGAAAAATTATCTACGCATTTGAACAATTTATGTAATTTTCAAAATTCAACATGTCTTTCTGGAAAAAAAAGGAAAAAGATTTAGTTATTATATGACGAAAAATAAAAGAGAATAACGGTTTGAAAGTTTCACGCGAAATGATAAAAATACCAACTGAGCAGCCTCGCATTTCAATGTTTTACTTCCTATCAATACTGTATTAATAATTACTTATTTGACAAGATTTTAAACGTAATATTTCTAACGTAAACTTAACGCAGCTAATATTTTCATGATTTGTTATAATTGATAAGCCGATTGGACATATTTAACTAGAAAATAATATTATCTTACGTTTCCAGAACCATTAAATACGTACGAAGTGTACAGTTACGTTTATAATTATTACAATTATTAAGATGCTTAATTACAACGGACAATAAAATATGAAATTTACATTCAGTTAAGTAACTCATGTACAAACTGTGACACTTGCTTACTAAACTACGTTAAGTATCCACGCGCTCATATCTCTTACAAAAAATATACTTTTTATTGTCCTTTTCGAACGAGCAACAGCTAATAGATACGCAAAAAACTTTGATTTGTATATCAGAAGCAAAAATATGATCGTAACTTTTTCTTTATGTTTTATATTGTATAGGAAATTGGAATCACGCGCGTTACTCATTTGTTGAATTTTCTTGCAAATAAGTAACGCTAATTTGTTCAGATATAATTGATATCACGCGTCTCCAATCACTTCTTACTAATAAAATAAAACGAAGAAATTTTTTCTTCCGCATAAAGAACGGTCTAATCTAGACCAATCTAACGATTTTCAGATAAGAACTCTATTTGGCTGCTAACAACAATATAGATAATAGATTATAAACATATTATATATATATATATATATATATATACTGTCTCCCACGTATTCTGTTTTTCCCATAAGTAATATACGCCGATATAAAAAGGAGAAATTTTCCTGTGAGATTGTATCATACATTAGTAGTATAAATACTACGATACTTTTTTTTTACTTTCGAAATAATATACTACAAGTTCTACGTAGAGATCAATTAACGAAGCTCATTTTCCAAAGAAGATATTGTGCATTTGTGATCACCTAGACATTTAAAATGCAACAGAAAGCATTTGCCGCGTTTTTATTTATAACCGCGCATATATACGTATAAATATTACAACGTCGATACTCCCTGATTGTTACGTCACAGGTTGCCCACTTCGATGAGCACAATGTTATTTAAGCTCTAACTCGTTGAAATTACAACTGTATACGTTACTTCTCTTTTTCAAGGTAAACTCAACAAGGTATCCGCGTGTCAAGCTATTCCTCTACGAAAGTTTTACGCAATATCCGTTTACTATATAAATAAGGAAATTGTTGGATACCGGGGCGATTATTATTATAAACAATCAGTTGGCTGTAGCGGAGCACACCTAACAATACGTGTATATACAATTGATCTGAACTTACGCGCGTTTTAGTTGAACAGGATAACCACTTTCACGATCACAATATATGCGTATAATTTTTCATTTTGTGTAAAAATACTTTTCGAATATGTAAAGAAAGAAAGTTGATTTTGATTTCTCACATGTCTTTTGCACTTTCGTTGTATAAAGTCATTGGCGGGATCCCAGCCGCCCCGGCATCGCCGTAACACAACGATCGTTCTCGGCATCTCGAAGATGAAGAAGACACGACTGCGATTTACAGTTGTAGCTTGAACCGTCCAGTTTCGACGTTTAAGGATCGACGTCTGTCTTCTATCTTCGAAAATCCGTCTTCGCGTCCCACGTGACGCCAGAGGTGTTGGAATCTTTCCAACGCATTCAAGGCATCTGACACTTACGCATACATCACGACGTATGTAACATCACGTAATCAACGATGCAACATCCTGCAAGGTCACGACTTACATTGCACTGACAGTATTCGTCACCCCATGTGACTTTCCGGTTCGGGTTTGTAATCCGACATGGTAAGGATATAAGGCACGACGCTAGCGACGCTTACTCGGCCGATGAGACCTGCGAAAAAGAGATCTTCCAAGATCCTAGGGTTAATCGAGCGAAGAGGCGCTAGCCTCAGGAGAAGACGAGGTAATCTATCGGAGCCGACACGTTGCTGCAATTCTGTCCACGCCGCGTCTTGCAGCATTTCGACCTTCCTACGCCAGAGACCTGCTAGCATATTGTCTGAAAAAGGGGAAGAGAGCGGAATAGGTATCTTCGTCACTTGAATGCATCGGACATACGTACGTTGTCTCTTTTTGTTTCTGTGCAATATTTACATACCAGGGCTAAAAAGTGTTAGAGCCTTGAGGTACGCATATTCCACGGAATCGACCTGCAGCTTGTGCAGGGAATTCACGCAATCCTGCAGCCTGCATATGTGTTCCGTGAGAGACTTCACTTTGCTAGCAGTGATCTTTTCCTGCGCTATACTAGCTTGCAAGTGATTGATAATCGACGTTAAGATACTAGGAAGAGACAACGTGTACGCGCACTGTGCGAGGCCCAATGTAAATAATTGCCCCCAGGAGCTTCGCACTAGAGCTGTTTGAATTTCAGGTCTACGGTATAAAATATACATTAAGTATACACATGTTTCTTTTCTTTTGCATAAAATATATATATATATATATATATAAATCTATCGCTTTGGCACAATATATCGCTGTTTGATCATCGATGTGAATGTAATTGCGTTTACGTGAATTGCGACACGCGCAAGCAAAAAGTTCATCCGTTAATACTCACTGCAAGGTTTGGAAGGCCGGAATTCCTCGTGCCCAGTGCACAGATAAAAATAACAGCCTAGCCGCGCTCTCGCAAATATAATGAATAGATAAATACGCAGGTGCCGGGCTAGGCGGCCTCAATTCGAACAACGTGTGTCGCTCGGAGATTAATTGGCCGGTCCATTCTTCCTCCGGCTCGCTCGAGCCGTTCACAGTCTGCGAGCAACAATCGTCACGGCACATTAAGGATCTCAACTTGCATGGAGGATAAATGCGAAAGTGTAAGATAATAATCGCCGACTTACGTCACCGATGAGCTTAGCCATGCTGTCCAACGCATGAGAAATGAGCACGCGTTCGCGCGCTAAGGTCAAGGCGTCGCTGAGATCGCTGTCGCTGCTTTGGTCTTCCATGCTGGGGCTCTCAGGTTGCTCCCAAGCCGGAGGTGTCTCCGGCACAGGTTGCTGCGGTTCCGGCTTCACTCTGGCGCTACGATTGCCCACTTTCGTGCCGGTCGCGTCACCCAGTACGGGTTTCCTTTCGTGTTGAACAGCTGCAACAGCCGCGACAGACACGTTACTCGCGATTATCGTATCCGCATGGAGGAGCTTGTCTCTCGCGAAAACGCAACACCCGGCGTCAACTCACAGTCGCTTCTCATGCCCATCGCCAGACACTTCTGAAGCCTACAATACTGACAGCGATTTCTATGGTGCTTAGTAACCTCGCAACTTTTGCTACCTCTGCATTGGTAGCCCAGCTGCTTGCGAATGCTGCGCTTGAAGAAGCCCTTGCAGCCTTCGCAGCTGATGGCACCGTAGTGCCTGCCGCTGGCTCTATCCCCACAGACTACGCACAGTTCTAAGGAGAGTCCTAAGCCTAACGAGCCGCGCACGTCTCTCGCTAGCTTCACCTGCGCAGAAGAAGCAGAGAATGTCATTCGAGAGTGCGTGAAAACGACAATTAAGAGATCGAGCGATTAGGGGGAGGTACTCACTTCGACGTCGACATTATTTAAATGCTCCATGCCGGAGTGTAAATGGACCATTCCCGTATGATGGCTCAAACTGCGGAAATCCCTTCCTATCTTGTGCTCTATCTTGTCGTCGTGCAAATTGTCGACGTGATTATTTTGATCTCTATCTAGGTCTCTCTGTAAAGATAAACGACCAGCGCTTAATCGAGCGTGAACCATCAAATCCTATTAGGGAGAAATAATCGATCAATTTCAGAGGCGGCATGAAGGTGTACACTTCGGCAGGACTTTCGAAATTACCATGGCGGGATGATGCCCTATATTATGAAAATTCCTCCCCAGCTTCTCGGGTTTCTCGTCGTGCAGGTTTTCGACGCGATCGGCCGGATCAACGTCCATGTCTCTCTGCAAAAAGAAATCGCAATTTCGAAATTATTCGTAGCGCACGCGATAATCGGTTTCATCGCTAGATTGTTAATCTTGATATTGTTAATCAACATGTTATTAAATCATAATATTGTTTCAGTTTTTAAATTAAATATAATTAAAATATTGTTGCTTAATTCTAATGCTAATATATTGTTTCGATACGGTAACTGATCTTTCAAATTTTTAATTATATCTCCTTGAATATAAATATATAATTAAAATTATACGTTTTTTATCGCTTCTGCGATAGCACCAAATATCTCTTTTCTTTCTATATATTTTATTCTTTATTATTCTTTGCGCCCAATAAATTATATATATATAGAGTATCCCAGACCAATTTCGGAATAAACTTCATGAATGCATAAAACGGATTGAAGTGAACAAAAAAGTCCTCTATGCATTTTGCAACACGCAAAATTTTGAGTTATTCGTTATTTAAAATGGTCATATATAAAGGTTTTTTTTTTTAGTTTCTTTAGTAATAACTTAAAAATTTGCATGTTATGTGCCAAATGACACAGATTTTTTTGTCCAGAATGGCTTAATTTATAAGTATATGACAGTTATTGTATCTAGCGACAAACGTCAGTTTGTCTTGAACTTTGAATCTCTCGAACCTTGAACCTATCACTAGGTACAACAGCTATCATATGTTTGTAGATTAGACCATTCTGAATAAAAAAGTCCTTTACCATTTTGCAAATGATTTGCAAATTTTTTAGCTGTTCACTAAAAAAGCTCCTGTATACGACTATTTTCAATAATTGATAATTCGAAGTTTTGCGTAATATTTGCAAAATGGTAAAGATAGGACTTTTTTGTTCACTTTAATCCGTTCTATGCTCTCACTTGCCTATGTGATGTAGAATGCCCTCTCTCTCTGCGTGCGTGCGTGCGTGTGTGTGAACAGAGAGAGAGAGAGAGAGAGAGAGAGAGAGAGAGAGAGAGAGAGAGAGATGTAATTATTATTATTATTCCTGGGATACAATTAACGCGATAAAGACAAGAAAATCCGGCGACAAACCTCAGTATCAACGTCCACGTGATCATGATGATGGGACAGGCTACGAAAGTCCATTCCGACCTTGCGATCCGCGTCCTTTTCATTCATGCTATCGTGATCGCGTTGTTCTCTGTGGTCCCTGTCCATCTCTCTCTGCAAAACGGATCGACGCCTCCGTTAGATGCGCGCGATGCACAGTTTTCCAAGTGTGAGAGATATACACTCCCGTGCCGATCTCATAATACGCGCGTTACCGTTCCGTTAAAACAGCGACGGCATTATTACGAGCCGAGCGTAAACGGACGGGCCGGCGGCTCTCCTTTTAACGCGTGTTAAACAAGCATTAACAATTTTCAGCCGGATATTGCGATCCTCAAATAGTCGGCTTGAAGTGCGCCGCTCGCGCTGATTCGTACATTCTTGTAACGCGCGCTGCACGATATCATTACGCGGAGCGCGCGTCCGAAGACGGATTCGAAGTTCGTGAGCGTGAAAGAAGAAATCAGCGATCTCTCCCCGATAAAAGATATCGCCCGTAGATTCGCTCGAACGTCACGTCCCCGCACTGGAGCGCAATTTCAAGATACGACCACGCGACGGGCGCGGTGAGAAACGGGCATACGAGTGCCGGGGGGACAGAAAAGATCGGGAGACATTAACGACGAATAACGCAAGAAGTAAACGACTGGCGTATATTGCCGCGGAATATAACATACAAATATTGAACACGCGACGATATCGATTGTTTACAACCGTAGAGGTTCGATAAAATCCGCGAGATCTTTCCTCACGCGATGAAACACGCCGCGGGTGATCCTCACCGATATACACGCGAAAAAAATACTGGAATCAAGCGAGTAGTATCAGACTTTCAGCCTTTTAAATCAAGTCATATTTTTATCAATTTAAATATATTTTGATAGCTTGCAGATACTTATTTAAACGCAGTAATATCTTAATGTGTAAATGAATCATTGAATGTAAGTGTAAAATAATTCTCAATTTAAAAGAGCAAGGAAAGAAGTGAATATCAATTTAAGACTCATATTCTCACTTATAAGCAAGAATATTTAATCTTATCTGATAAAACTTGCTTACACGAAGAAATTCTATATAGTTCCATTAAAAATATTGGGAGTACAAATTAGTTCGGTCCGTTTTCAAAAGATGGCTCTGGCTGTTATTAATGTTTCATAGTGACAGCTGATTTCGGTGGTTTCAGAGAGATTAGACATCTGTCAATAATATTCAGTTTATATCGCTTTGAGTTTCATACAAAACCCCTGTTTTTTACTGTGTTGAATATGTCAAATTTTGTGTTAACTAAGCAGCATTTGCGGGAGGTTTTAGTTTTCTGCTTTAATTGGAAGAAAAGTGCAGCTGAAGCGCACCGAATGCTTGTAGAAGTTTATGATGACAATGCTCCAACTGATAAATCATGTAGGGAATGGTTTCGACGTTTCAAAAATGGTGATTTCAGTGTTGAAAACAAGCCTCGCTCTAGACAGCCAAAAAAATTCGAAGACAAAGAATTGGAGGCATTACTCAACGAAGATCCGAATCAAACGCAAGAGGAGCTTGCAGAATCATTGGGAGTTACGCAACAAGCAGTTTCCGTACGATTGAAATCCATGGGAATGATTCACAAGCAAGGCAATTAGGTGCCTTATGAACTGACGCTCGGTCTCATGTCACAAAAGTCGTAAAAAATTATTTGGAAACGCTCAAGTGGGATATTTTACCGCACCCGCCGTATTCGCTGGACATTGCTCCTTCTGATTACTGGTTGTTCCGACGGATGCAGCACGATTTGGCAGGTTCACTTCTTTCGCAGAAATTGAAAATTGGCTCCTAACTTGGATCGCCTCAAAAGACGAGACATTTTTTTCGAAATGGAATTCGAAAATTGCCTGAGAGGTGGGAAAAAGTAGTAGCCAGCGATGAACAATAATTTGATTAATCTGTTCATTCATTTTGTTCTGAAATAAATGCATTTTTGATCACAAAAAAACGGACCCGACGGGTACTAATTTGTACTCCCAATATATTCTTGTTATTCGAGAATAATTTTTATGAGTTGAGAGGGGAAAATATGGGATAAAAAACAATATTTTCAAACTAAGAATTATATCAGTTTAAACTGACGTAGTCATCAATGTTTTTTCGAACCTCGTCAACTGTTTTAAAATGCATATTCGCCAGGTGATGTTGAAGCGACCGAAATAGGTGATAATCAGACGAAGCTAGATCTAGCGAATAAGCCGCATGAGGAAGAATTTTTCAGCCTAATGTATAGATGAGATTCTTCGTCCCTTTTGCGACATGTGATCGCGCGTTATTGTGCAACAAAATCATCTGCCTAGTTCCATTGCCGGTAAAAGGTCTTTTTACAAGTTTTATGGGTCACAGCACCTTCACCCAAAGCGGAACAAATCATTTCGGTAGACTAAGCAATTTTTATTCAACTGGAGAAAAGCATTTTTATTCAACTGGAACGCAAAAAGGATGTAGTGCCTCAGATGCTCCTTTTCGGACGACATCGCGATAATTATTGTTTTTTTGAGGTTATGTCGGCAAGATCGTAAACTGTTATAGTGCTTCTTACAGCTTAAGGTTGGCACTTTCAAATCACTATAGGGCGGGAAAAAAATTTAAATTTGAAACAGTTACAAAACCAGTTACCAGAGTTACAAGACGTTAAATGTAAAGGCATCGAATTAATTTGGACATCCAATATTTCTTCATGTAAACAAGTTGTATCTTCACATAAGATTACTCATATATGAGAGTATGAGTCTTGAATTGAAACTACTTTTTCTCCGTAAATATTTATTAGAACTATGTAGTATATCTTTTCTATTAAAGAAACGTAGTGGTTTTAAATTTCGATTTTTCTGTTCAGCTTGTATATAAATATTTTCTAAATATACAAATTTTGATTTTTTCAACGTTATAAATTTAACACTTGCCACTACTGTTCTAACATATATAAGTAAATGTTTCATTATACGAAGAAAATATCATATATTATGTACAGTCAATTATATATCTACTTCTAGTAAATATTTACCAAGTTATTGGAGTAACCATTTTACTTGGATCAAGTAAATATCACTCGAACGGCAGTACTTTTTCAGTGCACGCGGCCGAGAGACGCAAAGCGAACCTAATCAGGTCCGAATTTAAATGCACGCGATAATTCACGAGTCACTGCGCCACGTAGCCCGCGGGGAAGTGCAGTATCCCGACAATCGATCCGACACCGAGCCCTCGTTCTCGAGGTCTGATGCACCCATCCCGCCGAGAAAAAAAGGAGAGAGAAAGAGAGATAGAAAGACGGACAGAAAGAAAGAGAAAAGAGGAGAGACAGAGCGAAAGAGAGACGATTGCGCGGTCCAAAGTGCTCGAAGAACTAAGCGCAGGGGCGCGGGATAAAAATGTAAACTGGAGCATTTGCTGGCCGTCCCCACCTGCCGGGAGAAACTCCTCGTCCCTCGGTCCCGCTGCCCGCCCCGTCCCCCCGTCCCCGTTTTAAGAGGTGAAAGAGATGGTCCCGAGTTTCTCGGTTCGTAGGTTGCTACGCGGTTAGGTAGGTAGGTGCATGCCGATGCCCGGCGTCGCGCTACGCTGCGCCGCTCCGACCACTGTCATAGAGCGGTCCATTTCCATACGTCCGTAACTCGAGCCGCGCGAGACGAAAAGCGCGGCTCCGCGATATCTCGCTCGGTGTGAGCCTCGGGGACGATTCGCAAGTTTTCGTTAGCGAACGTACGAATCGCGGCCAATTTCCTCGCGATCTCGATTCACGATTCCCTCGCACTCGCAACGTTCATCGTAATTGCGAGTTCGTACAGCGTGTGGCATCCGCGGACAGAGACACATTTGGGCGCACATTGGTCAAATTGACAGTGTCTTGAACGAGCTCACGGGAAATTTCGGCGGTATTTTGAAGCACCCGCACTGGGGGGAAAAGAATAAGCTCCCGCAGTCGAAAACTAAGTCTGGTAATTAAACAAATGAAACTGGTAACTAAATTTCATTTCTTTATCATATAAATAGCTGATTATTAGCTGTGGGGGCTAGTTTTTGACTGTGGAAGCTAATTTCTTTTTCCGTGTTCATACTCAAGTAAATATTTGATAAGGAGTGTACCTTTTATTTTCAGTATATCACATTCAAATAATATTTATATTAACCTAAGTAAAATAGTTACTTCAACATTCCTTAGCAAATATTTACTTAAATGTAACACTTTTTTCCTTCGGTGTATGGCACTTAGCAATTCGTTCGTCCCGCGGTTACGAGTATATACAATCGATACAACACGCGAATTTATTTCTTCCTATCTCTTCGATACGCTCGAGAGACAACTTATTTCGAAATCAAATATACTCGATGAGCTTCCCACAAATTTCAATGTTCTCCGGTTACCCCAAGACTCGTCGTCGCTCACTGCCCACCGATTCCGAACGTCTCAGGTGCTCGATATATGCAGGTCGCACGTTTCTTGTCAATTCTCGGGGAGCACCCACTGTGACCTCGAAACATACAGCTATAGTTTTAAGGTTTCGAAAAAAACCGGTTTTTTGCCCTATCTTTTCCGTGGATTTCTTTCGTTTTTGTCCCGATGTTACGAAACTTCGTTTAAAAAACTTCACCTGCGTCCAATTAAAACTCGCCGCGTTAATTTTTTTTTCCGTAAAGAAGATAAGAAATTAAAGAGAGGTCTGCAAACAAAATGGAGAAAGAAACGATTTTTTACAACTTTGAAACATATACAGAAAAAAACATTAGTCTTAAATTAAAATAGATATTCTCATATATAAGCAAGAATACTATAATATTCTTAGAAGATTTTTAGTTTTGAATTAAGTTCAATTAATACAACAATTCAATTAAATTCAATGAAATCAATGCTAAGAATTTTCTGAGACTAATTTTGTTCAGTGTACACATAAGGATATCGTTTATCGCGGTAGATAGAGTCGGCGTACGTTCGCGTCGCAGGGTCAAGCTGGGAAAACGGCGATCGGTTTCCCGAATCGAAGCGTCGCCTAGGCGATAGCGGCGAACTGCACATAGCGCGAATAAACGTGATAAGCCGCATGGCTGCGACGCTCGGCCGGCTCGAAAGCAGAAAATCGAACGGCAGA